CATTGTCAGCCAAGGTGGGAGAAACCATCAAGATCACCTGCTCTGGGAGCAATGGCAACTATGGCTGGTACCAGCAGAAGGTCCCTGGCAGTGCCCCTGTCACTGTGATCTATTGGGATGATGAGAGACCCTCGGACATCCCTTCGCGATTCTCCGGATCCAAGTCCGGCTCCACGGCCACATTAACCATCACTGGGGTCCAAGCTGAGGTCAAGGCTGTCTATTTCTGTGGTAGCTACGACAGCAGTGCTGGTCAGCCTCCTCTTGCTGCTGCCATTTCTCCTTGCAGGACTCTCACACCTTGGGTTCTCGGTGTGTCTCTGATTCCCTCCATTGCATCATGAGGTCTTTGGGCACAGGGGCCCAGTCCTGATGCCCTGGGCAAGGCTGTGCTGCTGGGCAATGTCTGATCTCTGTCTTCTCTCCCTCTCCAGCTTCCGTTTTCTGGTCAGGTCAGTGCTCCTGTGGCACTGGATGATCCTCTTTTTTTCCCCTCTCTCTTCTTCCTCTCCACGTTTCGTGGTCCAGGCAGCATCACTGAGTCAGCCGTCCTCATTGTCAGCCAACATGGGAGAAACCATCAAGATCACCGGCTCAGGGAGCAGCAACTATTATGGCTGGTACCAGCAGAAGGTCCCTGGCAGTGCCCCTGTCACTGTGATCTATGATAACAGCAAGAGACCCTCGGACATCCCTTCGCGATTCTCTGAATCCACATCTGACAACACGAACACATTAACCATCACTGGGGTCCAAGCCGAGGACGAGGCTGTCTATTTCTGTGGTGGCATAGACAGCAGCACTACTGATGTATTCGGGGCCGGGACCATGTTGACCGTCAAAGGTGCGTCGCCAATTTCTTCTTGGTCTTTCCTTCCCCAGTGCAAAACTGTGACAGCAGCAGTGGCAGCAGCTCTGGTGTGTTGACAGTGAGTAGCAGGAAGTGAGGCAGAACCCAAAATCAGGGGAAAGGTTTTGGCCCTTCTCCCTCCTGTCTGGCTGTGCGGCTGAGGAAGGTTTCTGTTGCCTCTGCACAGTCATGGTAGGGAATATCCTCTCCTTGGTGTCCCAGAGAACAGGGGTGACTTTCTGGCTGGGGACACCATTGTCCTGGTCCCTACAAAACTCATGGTGTTGCTTTGTCCCCCACCTGTCTGCATCTTGCTACTGATGACCAACTCCCGTTGCTGCTACCAGAGCTGCCTCTGTGCTGGGATGTGTTGGGCTGGGCTCTGCTCCCCAGGTTTGCCTGTGACCATGTCCATGTCTGTTCTCTGACTATGGCATTCCCTGTAACCTTGTCCAGGAAGTTCTGTGCTCCTGGGACACTGGGTGACCCACCTTTGCTCCTGTCTTTTCTGTCTCTATCCAATTCCCTGGTCCAGTATCACTGAGTCAGCCGTCCTCGGTGTCAGCCAACCTGGGAGACACTGTGAAGATCACCTGCTCTGGTGGTAGCCATGGCTACTACGCCTGGTTCCAGCAGAAGGTCCCTGGCAGTGCCCCTGTCACTGTGATCTATACTAATAGCAACAGACCCTTGGACATCCCTTCGCGATTCTCTGGATCCAGGTCCGCCTCCACGGGCACATTAACCATCACTGGGGTCCAAGCCCAGGACGAGGCTGTCTATTTCTGTGGTAGCTGGGACGACAGCAGTTATGCTGGTATAGAGACAAAGAAAGATTTTCGAGGTCAGGCACAGAAGAATTAAAAATAGAGTTTTTCTGTCTTTTCCATGGCCAAGCATTGCTGGTGCAGCCAGGCCATGGTCCTACTGGGCAGGAACATGGACTGGGTGGTCCTTGGCTGAGCTCAGAGCTCAGCAGCCGTGTTGGGGAAGGAGCAGGCAGCCCAGAGTGATCGTGCTGTCTTCTGGTGGATGTGTCCCCAGAGGTGCCTGCAGTGGGCAGGAGGAGCACTGGGGCAAGAGCTCCAGGGAACACTGATGGCCACATATCCAGGGAGGGGCTGTGCCTGGGCAGGTGGGGGCTTAAATGTGAGTCAGGGTCCACAGCACAGCCCCATCATCGTGGGGACGTGGAGCTGGTGGGATCACACCATGGCCTGGGTCCCTCTCCTCCTCACGGTACTCGCCCACACCTCAGGTGACATGGGTGGACTCGCCGTGCCTGGATGGGTCCTTTGGGCACAGGGGTCCCATCCCCCTGCCCAGGGAGGGCTGTGCTCCTGGGGCACTGACTGACCCCTGTCCTTTCTTCTCTCTCCTCTCCCTTTTCAGGTTCCCTGGTCCAGGCAGTGCTGACTCAGTCACCTCCGATGTCCGTCAAAGTGGGAGACACCGTCAAGATCACCTGCTCTGGGAGTAGCAGCAGCTGGGCTTATGCTGGCTGGTACCAGTACCAGTACCAGTACCAGTACATTACCCTGGTAGTGCCCCCATCACTGTGATGTATCAAAGCACCAACAGACCCTCGAACATCCCTTCACGATTCTCCGGATCCAGGTCTGGCTCCACGGCCACATTAACCATCACTGGGGTCCAAGCCGAGGACGAGGCTGTCTATTTCTGTGGTGGTGAGGACAGCAGCAGTGATTCCACAGTCCCATGGAGCAATGGGAAAGTGAGGCAGGAACCTCCTGCCATTGCAGACCTCAGTCAGGAGTCTCTGCTGTGCCCGTTTGATGGTTGGACAAGTCCCCACCATCGCCCTGCCCTTGCTGCCCTGTGCTGAACGTGGCTGTGCCTCATGTCCCAGCTTGGATGGGACAGGAAGCATCATGGTGGAGGTGGAATTTCCTACGGGTGCAGACACTCTTGGTCTGGGCTGGGGCTACCGAAGACACCCGTGATCCCTGTGCCCTGAGTCAGGGCAGGGCTGGCCGGGGGCTGCCCCAGCTCTGGCTGCCTCTGCCGAGCACCAGCCCATTGGGCTTGTGACCAGCTCAGGGACAGGGAGGCAGTGCTGGACCGCGGGGACTGGTGCTGGACTGCTCCCATTGTTCTGGGG